CCGTGTAAACTAGAAAAGATTACATTTTCGTTTTCTATAGTAGCAAAAGAAAAACTCAATCGATTTGTACCAAAAATGTTTGAGTGACCAAAGACTGCTAAGTCGACTGTTGTAAGCTCTTGATTTATTTTTAGTTTTTTCGGTACACGTGGTTTTTGAGAAAAGTACTAGATGGTAAATGTCCTATGTTCGAATCAGTCCAGCACTTGTTTTTTTTATTCGAAAGGGGATTTTTCCGTTTCAAAAACTGTCGTTATGTCTGTTTTTTTTCAAATGTTTTTTTTTTGGTTTAGTTGCCTTGTACCGGATGATTGCTGTGCTGTAAGTATTTTTCTTGTAACTGAAAGAGTTAGTGTAATTGTAAACTATTCATGTTACTTGTTCCGACCATTGCTATACAATCAGCCGACGCCTTCATCAAAACCGCAAGGCGATTCTTCGCACGCAGAGGACAACCAGCCAAAATTGTTTCTGACACCGGTACAAAGTTCACCGCAGCCGAAAAAGAACTCAACAGACACTTCGACGCCGATGTTACACGATAATTCTACGCCAACCATCAGATTGACTGGACTTTCAACCCTGCATGTGCTCCTCATTTCGGAGGTGTATGGGAACGACTCATAAGATTAGTCGAAGACTCGTTTTATGCCATCATAGGAAGCCAGATTCTAACAGACGACATAATCAACACCATTCTTTGCGAAGTTGAACACTTCATGAATGCAAGACCCATCACTTGGATTCATCATTGCCCGATAGTGTTGAAGCCCTCACCCCAAATCATTTTCTTCTCGGCAGAGCATATGCCAGCATGCCACCTCTACAAACCCAACAGCCCTCAACACTCAGTCAACAATGTAATTTCGCACACAAATTGCAACCCATACTTGGAAACGCTTGATGAAGGAGTTTATACTAACGCTACTGCCAAGACAACGATGGACAAAGAATACGCCGCCTATCAAAATAGGAGAAAATGTCTGAATTCTTCAGGATATGACGCCACGAGGAATCTGGCCAATTGGACGGATCACAGAAAACAAACCAACCGATGATGGCCAGACCCGCGTTTAAACCGTCAAAATAAGAGACAAAATTTGTGTCAATACCAGCCATTAGACTAGCACCTGTTAGTCCGGTTTATTGCAATCAACCAGCAAACGAAGATTCACGACAACGAGAGCCTCATCCTAAAGCAGCCTTGCGACGACAATCATAGCCAATAATTTCAACTGACACTTACACGACCGTTAAGCCAGCGTTTTGAGTTTTATAAATAGCAACTACCCCACCCCTTTTTTCTTAACTTATTTCGCAACTGCAAAATGAGGTCGAGTGTTATATGCCAGTTTGACAATTGACAACCATCTTAGATGACTTCAAATTTTCACATGAAATCAGGAAAACTCCGGGAAAGAAATTGAAAACCAGAACTCAGCAAAAACAAAATTGGCAAAAACGCAAAACTGAATTACTAAACACATTCAACGAACTAATTTATAATCAAATCAATGTTTAAAGCAAGAAAAAGCTCAAGTACACCGTGTAAACTAGAAAAGATTACATTTTTGTTTTCTATAGTAGCAAAACAAAAAATCAATCAATTTATACCAAAAATGTTCGAGTTAACAAAGACTGCTAAGTCGACTGTTTTAAACTCTTGATTTAATTTTAGTTTTTTCGTTACACTTGGTTTTTGAGAAAAGTACTAGATGGTAAATGTCCTATGTTCGAATCCGTCCAGCACCTGTTTTTTTTATTCGAAAGGGGATTTTTCCATTTCAAAAACTGTCGTTATGTCTGTTTTTTTTGGTGTATTTGCCTTGTACCGGATGATTGCTGTGCTGTAAGTATTTTTCTTAGAATTGAAAGAGTTAGTGTATTTTGTAAATTATTCATGTTACTTGTTCCGATCATTGCTATACAAACTATCCTATACAATAGCAACTAAAGTTCTCCCCCATGAAAACCTAACGGCGTACAACTCGTGTCGCCTGATATCTCTGGAAAAAACTCCAGGGGTACGGCCCATTGGTATAAGCGAAGTTCTGAGAAGAATAATTGGCAAAACAATCACCCAATGTATTAAATCAGACCTTAAAAATCTCGGAAAAAAAATCCAACTCTGCTTAGGCCAGAAGTGTGGAATCGAATATGCTATCCACAGCTTGAGGAACGAGTTTGAAAAAATTGGAAACGGACGCCATACTACTTATTGATGCAGAAAATGACTTCAACTCGCTCAAAAGAGACCTTGCTCTAAAAAATGTAGAAATCCTTTGTCCGGCGCTACATCTTGCACTGGCCAACTCATATAATCATCCCTCAAATGTATATGTCAATAGCACGGTCTTGACATCTACCGAAGGCACAACTCAAGCTGAACCTCTAGCAATGGCTTTGTACGTAATTGGGATAATCCCACTGATTGAGCTCCTGCAAAAATCAAATGTCACTCAAAAATTGTACGCAGATGATGGAAGCGCTGCAGGTGATCTTAGGAGTCTCCGCGCAATACTGGACAACCTGGATGTGCACGGAAAGGCTTTCGGATACAATCTGAAGCGTTCCAAGTGTTAACTCATAGTAAAAGAAAACCGTGGTGACAGCGCCATAAAAGTATTCGAAGGCACAAATATTACAATGGTAGACGGTTTTAGAGTCCTTGGACTGGTTATAGGAATACCATCAGCATGCCATAAATACATGGAAAGCCAAATTGAAAAGACAGCTAACCTAACTGAAAAGCTTTCTAAAAAGCTAAAACATCACCACAAAATGCGTACTCCTGCTACACAAAGGGAGTTCAAAATAAATTAAGCTTTCTCACCAGAACAACTCCGGAAGAGTTTAAGAAAATGGATGAAATTCAGAAAAATGTAAGACATCAGCTACTTCCTAGTATTACTGGTGAAAACCATATAACCGATGAAGATCCCAACCTTTTTGCACTACCACTAAGAATGAGAGGACTAGACATCCTCAGTAACACGGACTTATCCAGAAATTATGAGTGGTCACAAGCCCATTGTGTTCCGTTAGAGAACAGTGATCCAGAAATAGCTGAAACGGAACAAACTCTGATAAATAGAAACATCAAAACTGAGAGACAGAACATCACACTCTCAAAAAAGGCTAAAATTATGGAAAAAAGTCTAGCGTCACAGAAAGGAGCGTCGAATTGGCTAAGCGTGCTACCCTTGAAAAGATACAATTTTTCCCCTCAACAAATCAGATTTTAAAGATATTACATCTGAGATATGGATGGGAACCACCAAACACCCCACATACATGCCCATGTGGACAACCGTTCTTACTGACCCACTCTCTACACTGTCCCAAAGGTGGATACACTCGCCTAAGACAACGAAATTCGCGATACCTTTGCAACACTCCTAGACGAAGTACGCCTTGATGTTGAAATAGAGCCGAAGATTCAATCGTTGGAAGGCGAAAGCTTTCACAAGAAAAAACCACTACTGAAGATACCGCTCGACTTGTCATCAGGGCAAATGGACGCTGGGGAGGCCGAATCAGCCGAAAATTTTTTGATGTAAAACTTTTCAACCCCCATGCTAAATCCTGCCCCAAAACTATCTGACGCCTACAAATATCATGAGAGTGTCAAAACATGAAAATACCAACAAAGAACTCTGGATGTGGAACACAGCAGCTTTGTTGCACTAACTTTTGCGTGTACCGGAGGAGCAGTACCAGGCTCTACAAAAACCATCAAGAAACTAGCAGAGAAACTAAGCGAGAAACTGAACGAATCATACTCGGACACAATAAACTTTATAAGAACAAAAACAAGTTTTGCACTGTTTGAGGAATGCATCCTCTGCCTTAGTGGGTGCAAAAATCTTAAAAATACATCCAACATATACAATTATATCTGTGCTTGCAAAAGCATGCAATGTGTCAAAACATCAATCCGTTTCACACAATGTTAATTCTGAAACGACGAAAGACGTGACAATTAGTTAACACAAGTTACAAATACAATACGTAAAAACAGAGTACATAACAAGGGTCCTTCTACTCGGACATCCCCCCCAAGTCGTTGGAGGCGCAATAAACGCCTTGCTGGCACGGTGCGCCTTTAACGACAGACGCATACGAGGACCCTGATTTAGGATTCGTGATGAATGCGCCTGACGTCCATGCATCGTCACCACCAAACTTGGGAGGCGGGCGGCGGATCCTCTTCGGTCTGCATAAAATCGTATCGAGCGCAGGGTTAGCGACTTGGGCTGGTACTGGCGTTGCGTCTGGGTGTGATGTGGGTGGATCGCTGGCTTTCGGTTCCGGCGATGTGATGTCCGATCTAGCGGGAGGGTTGACGAAGTCAGATGCGGTGCGGGCGGTTCGACCGATTTCGTGGAGTTTGTCCACTGGAGCTGGAGTGGCGGACTCCTCGATCTCCCGCACACCGTGTTTGCTGATGATATTGTGTTGGTTTCTTTGGGGCGCCATATAATCATCGGGTAAGGTACGTGTTTCCAGAGAGGGCGAAGATCAGTGTCGAGTGGCTCCCGATGTGGAGGTATGGAACGGAATTCTCCTTCTGCGCGGACGGCAAAACTCTGGAATTTCTTCAGGAAGCTACGGTTGCGTAGACTGAGACGGCGGGAACCGTCAACCCGGACGGTGTGTTGGTCATTGTCACCTATCTGAATAACAATGCCAGTCTTGTCCCACTTATTGGGGTGATTGCCACTTTGGTTCTGAATCCTAACTGAGTCTCCTATAAACAGAGGAGCAAGCTTGCGTGTATTCCTGTCTAGTCTATCAACCTGCTTTGCCAGCCTAGCACAAAGAGCATTTTCCTTCGCTCGCCATGTGTCCTTCCAATGATGATCGACCGGGCTGGTTTCATCAAAAACTGACACTCTGGTTGCAAAAGGAGGTGGTGCAGGAAAAGAGTCACGAAGAGAGCGACCGAGAAGCACCTGGGCAGGCGACAGGCCGCTGTCACGTTCTGGTGTGTTTCGGAGCTAAAGCATGCCACGCATAACGGCATCTGTATTTATGTTTCCGCTTTCGTCCACATTGTCCACAAGAAGACGTTTCATGGCCTTTACCGCAACCTCTGCACGGCCGTTGGACTGGGGATGGTAAGCTGAAGATAGTCGATGGGTGATACCCCACCGCGACATGAAATCCCTCATGATGTGCGATTTGTATTCCGGTCCGCCGTCACTGGACAAGTGCTCTGGTACACCAAATTGGACGAACAATTGCCGCAACGCTTTTATCAGACCAGCGGCTCCGGCCTCTGCGGTGGCTGCGCTTGCCTGTCTCAAATCGGGCCAATTGGTAAACCTGTCAACAGTTAGGAGATAATTCTTTCCCCGCACATTGAAATAATCGGTTGCAACTGCCTGGAAGGGTAGCACCGCAACAAATGGCTCGGCGGCTGGTAGATGCGGTTGGCTGGGTGATATGAAGTCACATGTGCGACACTGTTTACGAACCTCCTGGATGTCCGTGGTGATTCCAGGCCAAAATACCGACGCGTTAGCTCGGCTCATCATCTGAGTGACCCCTTGGTGAGCGCTATGAAGATGCTGGCAAACTTCACTTCTGAGGCTTGGCGGAATGACAGTGCGGTTTCCGTGATGTGATGACTCCATCTATTGCCGACAGACTGTCTCGAAAACGCCAAAAACCGAGGAGCTGAGGAGACATTCGCTGGGGCGTGTCTGGGAAGCCATTTTCGGCCATGTTCATTAGTTGGAGCATGTGAATATCCCGAGAGGTTTCATCTCGCACGCGCTCCCACGTGACAGCGTGTAACTGGGCCAAGCCGGACCTGGTGGCGGCTATAAGCTCTTCTTCGAAGTGATCGATGTCATCGACAACCCTCATGGCGTTTAAATCGGCAATAAAGTGAGATTCGTTTTCATCGTCCTCGGCTCTGTCATCTGGGCGTCGCGAAGTGGCATCTGGCGCAGGGATCTTGCAGCCGGGCACATATGCTATCTTGAATCTCCACGGCATCGTCTTCTCCTTAAATGAGAGAAGTCGGTTGTTATCAATCTCATCTAGTGCGCGGTTGCCCAGAAGCTTGACAAGCGGCCGGTGGTCCGTCTGAATGTGGAGGTCCTTGCATCCCCGAGTGAAAAATCGTGTGTCTTCTAGAGCCCATTTGACAGCAAGGGCCTCGCCTTCCACTGGCCAGTAGTTTTGTTCCGCTTTCTTGAGGAAGCGGGATCCAGCCAGGGTTATCCTCCAGCCATTGCTGTAGCATCCCGTCGTAGTCGAGGGACATGCACAGTACTTTTGGTAGAGGAAATATCCGATTCCCGCCTTAGACCAGTCCGGACTGAGCAGGGTGATGCGGTTTGGGTCAAATATTTTCACTCCGGTTTCGATGGCCTTAATGATTTCATCCTTGGACTGCTGGAATGCGTTCTCCAGTGCGTCGTACCACCTGAATCTGGTCTTTGGAGAGAATAATGGCTTAAATGGGGTCCTGAGTGCTGTCAACTGCGCGTAGTGTGACACTTGGTTGACGAGTCCAAACCAAGCACGTATGTCAGAGATGTTTGTAGGTCGCGGAAAATTCTTTATGGCGTCCAGATACTTTGGCAGTGGTTTCACATCGTCATCTGTAATAAGGAAGCCGGCAAATTCAACGACACGCTCGCAAAACTGGAACTTCTTTGGATTTATGATGATTCCGCTGTTACCAATTAGCGTCAGATAGTCAATAACTCTCCACCAATATACTTCGAGCAACTCGTCCCATAATAGTGCGTCGTCCACGCATTTAGTCTTCCTGGGGATGGAGGCTATAATATTGTCATAGCATTGGTTATAGCCATCCCCCGAGGCCAGGTAACCTTGAGGTGCCACTTTGTATCGGTATCTGCCGTATTCCGTGATAAAGGTAGTAAGATGCCGATCCTCCTCAGCGAGTGGAACTGAGTGGTAGCCATTCCAGGCATCAGTCTCAGTTCTCCATGTGCCCGCCGGTATGTAACAGTCGCCTACTTCGTTCACATATGAGGCTTAAGAAAAATAGGCCGTATAACCATTGGCTCAAGAGTCAGGGACACTATCTCTTGTGTTTTTCTACCTCAAAACGGTCGGAGCCAATTCGGTTCGCTTGCGACATGAGACTAGAACCCGTTACAGCTTAAAGGCTACTACCAAAATATCCCCCCACTCTAGAAAATAAGAACGTCCCCATACTTAGGTCTCAAAATACACAAAATACACGAACGCCGTTAAAAACAGGGTCGGAACAATCCGTTAAGTTACTTTTTATTGGACAGTGGAATTTTGATCCATTTCAGATGGATCAACCTAAAACTCGCCTTATCTCAACATAACAATCATAAAACACGCTCGAGAAAATTAAATTAGGGACTCACATGTTGATGCACTCGAGTACAAGGAGTAATCAAATTGAAAAGCAACTCGAGAATTGGATAAAATAACTAGATAAGTTCAATACTAATCAGTTTTGATAACAGAAGTAAATTCTGACTCTAGAATTGGAGTTTTTGTATGAACCATTGGGACACTCAAGCTGTCCACCTTTCCATTGAAGGCTGACTCTGGTTCGTTTCGAATAGTTGTTCTCTCTTCTTTTGATTATCTCTCCTCCTCTTTCAGGATGAGACAGCTCTACTCGTGTCTTATTTTGTATCTGGAAATTGCGAATAGCAATTTCCTGCTGTTTTCTTAAGTATTTTCCCGCAATTGTAAATTCGGTCGTTCTGATTTTTCACTTTGTGTTTTCAGTTGGTGCGAGAAAACTGAGCATGACAGGCTCCATTCGAAATTTTGAAAATAAAAACTTCACTCCAAAATTACGTATTTTCGTGTCCCTCAAGGTCAAACTTCCAGATATGACCGACTGGCACATACTCCCCGGACTCAAGATCGATGTCCTCATCGCGTGCTGTCTCTGTCAGTGAGTCCCCAGAAGCCCGAATGTCACTCAAGCTACAGTGCCAGTGGTCATTTACAGAAGTTTGCAGCAGACTTAAGTTTATCTACCTTCCAAAATTCACAACCATATAAAATTTTCACACTATCGCTAAACAGCGATCAAAATCTGCACACACCTGCGCCTATGAATTCTCGCTTTTTAAGCTGGTAATTTAAAATTTCTTTTGTCCTATTTCAATCAGGAAATTGTCATGCAGCACTTTGATTCATATAATAGATCTAGCATATTAATAACAAAATCTCATTTTTTAAAATTTCTTTTTCGTGAACCCAGATTTCATCCGAGTTCACCCTCGAGCCCCCTCCCTCTCAAGACTCAAGACTCTAGAATTTTCCTTTTGAGCCACCGGGTCACCTCGTGTTCTTCGCCCTCGAGGTACCCGACCCAGATATATTTGACACTGTGATCTGTTTCAATAGTGCCTCTTCGTCATCGGAGCTGATCACAATCTCCTCCCAGGCCTTCAGCTGTTCATAGGATCGCATCCACTCCCTTTGCTCTTGCATTCTCTTCCCTTGATTCGGTAAGCTCTTCACCTTCGACTCCCGGTTCAAACAGAAGGAATTGTGAAGACTCAGGCTTACATTCTTCGCCAGGTCCTCCTCCAGTATCGACTCCCTCGCTCTAGTGTTGTCTCTGGATACTCTACCCACTCTTTTCCACCCCGTCGTGATCGCATTTCGATGGGTCAGCAGAGGTCTCTTGAAGGCATCTGGTCCTATCTCGGCCTGGAATTATCGATATTCCTTTTGATGTTTCCTCATGTGATCCTTCGTCACCACATATAACCAGGATGTTAACGTCGCGCGAAACCAAGGAAAGAATCTCAAGCGGCTCCACATGTGTCTGACTTCCATTGGTATGGCGAATACCTTGCATGCGGTCTCGAACAACTCAAGTCTCCTGCTGTAATCTATCGCGTGAATCGACTCTGCTGTTGGCGTCTTCGATTCCCGATACTTTGCTATGTTTTCTTCCATCCATCGTAGAGCCAGCATTGTGCTCACCACCGAGATGGTCACTTTTTGTTGATGCTCAGGTAGTCCCAACGACCTGATTTCTTCTACATCCCAGATCAGGCAGAGATTGGCGTGGTCTGGGTACCACACTGTCTGCGCTAGACAGTGGCATGGACAATCCCCGTGTGTGAGGTCGATGCTCCTAAGATTGCGTTCTCCCGAGGCTTCTAGGAGAAGCTCAAGTTCCATCATCTTCTCGTGCATCACGTCGACTTCTTCCAAGTTTGGAGCACCTACCATGGGTTTCCCAATCACGTTTTGTCTCTCGTGGTCACTTGTATTTTCGCTCTCCAAGCCTAGAAGTTCTTCACCCCAGATTTCACTCAAGTAGTCCCTTTGTGCTTTCGGCACTGTTCCTCGGATCTTCCTCAACAGCTTGTGTGAATGATGTGACATCCGAGCCAGTCTTACACATTTAGGCACTGAGAAGGCTTTGTCTATCAATACCCTTTGGCTGGACACTTCTACCATCGCCATGTGTAATGGGTAGTGGCTGCCACATAGGTTGGCCATCACTGACCCCACTAGGGACTTCGCATTTAGAGGCAGACCATAGGCTTCGCTCATGGGAAATCCCATCTCCGCTTCGAGTCCAACCTTCCAACTCTTGATGTGTTTCTGGGTCACTTGCAACACTCCGGGCCATGACTCCACGCTCAACGCGGTCACCAAGTGGTGTTCTGACTCTAGCCTCTCCAGTGACTGGAGACTGCACATTCTTGAGAAGAATCCCAGAGCTGTTGCTAGGTTCACCGTGGTACTCGCGTAACACGCAGCCACTATCTGTATCTCACTTTTCTCCCTTTCGGTAATGTCTTCAAACCAGGTGACTAGGTCTTCTTTCTGGAAAGACTGTATCCTGACGCATGACCGTCCATCGCAGGTGTGCTCGCTATTCCCACGCGTCGAGTCAAGAAAACTGCCCGGCTCCATCTTCTTTACCGACCCTGTTCCACTCGTCATCTCACTTGACTCCTTCATATGAGGCAGGATCAGTCTATGTACTATACTCAAAGTCGCCAAATCTTCAACCTCTGTCGGCGCTAATCTCACTCGCTCAGTGACTTCCTCGATCAGGCTCGCATGGGGATGTGGACACCAGGAGGGCCTGAGCTATTTCCACACCACTCCCAGATTCGTGGTCAACATGCCGTTCCCGTTACCCATTTTTAGTTCTACTCTTTTACTTGAGCGTGGCACACTTATTACTTCCGGTGTTCTCTCGAGAATCAAACCTAGGCTAGGTCTCTCTCTCTCCACAGTGTCTATCTCCATTATCTTCTCTGTCCAGAACTTCAGCAGCTCCGCCACCTCATAGTTTCTGTGGGCACCTCCAGCTTCTAAGTCCAAGAAAGGGTTGTATGCCATCCCAATCACTCCAGACACATACTGGTACTCTCCCTTCTTGTTGGGTTTCAAGTACTCTCCTGACGAAGCCAAGTTACGGTGAACGTCGTGTTTCTCCTCAAACTTCTTGTTGTAGAATCTCCGTATCTCATCTAACTTCCGGTGGCTCTCTAGAGATTGCCTAGAACCATCCTCCTTTTCT